TGGCGGACCACCCTGCAACTGCCCACATCGCAAGCTAGAGGCACAAGCCACTATTTATTACGATAACAGTTGGGCTTCAGCAGCGTATCAATGGACGCGAGAACGGATGCGGGCAGTTTTTTTGTTGCAAAAAGAGGTTAGGTTACAAGTCATGTTATAGGAAGCAGACAATCTCAAGGCAGTGCAGCTTAACATTGGAGGGTTATAACCACATGTGCCGATCACACTTTCAATCACATTCTATGTACGACTACAACGCGTTCTACATATTTGGCTTCGCCCAGACAAAGCCTTTGGTAACCACAGCTTGCCACACTGGAAGTCTGCGACATTCAAACGTCACGTCACATCAGTCTGATAGCACTAAACGGCTGCAGACGCCGCAATGAATATGCCAATTTAAGTCATTACACAGTCTGCGAGTGTCCGGGGTCGTCGCCAGGCAGACGCCGGTTCTGGACGGAAGTGACAACAGGGGACATGCAAACCTGTCAGACCTCTCAAGTCTCAAGGTCGGAAGGGACGGCGGTGGATGGCCAAACGCCGCTCTCTGAGTACTCCGTGTCCGTGTGTGAATGTTTTGGATGTCCGCAGGTCGGTAGTCGCGTAATACTACACCCTCCCACCTCCTCTTGTTTTCAGCGGACACAGGGATCGATCGAGTCGGTGGAGTAAGTCTAAATGCCCGGTAGATAGCCTGGTTTTCCGATCCTTTCCCAGTCATCGGCTAAGTAGCCTTCTTCGCGATGTAGTTGACAGCTACGCAGCATGAATGCAAAGCATTCATATAAACATATGGACAGAGAGCACAACAGAGTAAACACAAGTCCTTGTCCACACAAGTCATCCCTCCAGGTGGGCCGTCCACGCGTCTTCCCCTCCCTCGTGCTCGCCGCCCAGGCCGCCCGGAGAGCAGGACATAAAAAGGTCGCCGACCAAGGTCATGACACCCTCAAAACCAAGGTCATGGCGCCTTCACAACAAAGGCTGGTCACCGCCGGACCGGCCCCCCGGCTTTGGCTTTGGAACGGGCCGCGTCGCCGGCGATAGAGGAGGGCGGACCGCCGTGGCGGTCGACCCGGGCACAGAGCAATCCAGCGGGGCTCCGTACACTGTAGATGGATGCACGCAGAGTACACTGTAGATTGATGGACCAAGGGTACACTGTAGACGGATGGACCCAGAGTGCCGGGCATCACCGGCGGTAGTTTACTGGCAGCTGGGGTGACTTGGGACGGATTGTGGTGGCAGCAAACTGGGCACGGTGAGTGAGCCAGCCCGCGACGCAGCGCGGAAGAGCTTCTTTTCGTCACCGTGAAATTAGTCCATGCCCCACTCCATATTTAAAATTTGATAGCATCCGCTTTCTGAGTTCCGACAGCGTGACACGGCCGCAGATGATGCAGCTAACGCGCCACCCGCCAGCAACCGCGAAGTTACGGCCCTACGCTCATGCAAGAGAGGCCGAGTGCGGTCCAGAAAGCGGACTTCCAGCGGCGGGGAGGGGACAGCACTGATATGACCGGCTCTCTGATTGGTTTCCACACCTGCTTCCGAGACTGACGGACCACACAGCTGGCTCCGCCCACGTGACCCCGTGTGACCCCGCGGGGCGGGGCGACGATCGACCGGCGGGATGGAAACACGCGGCTGGGCGTGCGGAACTGACGAGCCAGCCAGCCAGCCAGCCAGCCAGCCAGTCAGTCAGTCAGCCAGCCAGCCAGCCAGCCAGCCAGCCAGCCAGCCAGCCAGCCAGCCAGCCAGCCAGCCAGCCAGCCAGCCAGTCAGCCAGCCACCCGGTCGGTCGGTCGAATGTTGGCGAAAGCAGCGTCATCCTCGCGTGAGTTAGCGCGCCGGAGCTGCATGTTTGCTACAGGGTTTGCTACAAAAAGGATGTTTACGTTCAAGGGCGCAGAGCTGCAGCAACTCAACAGGATAATACGGATTTTAATGAGTGCTGGCCAATAAACGCCACTCAGACAGGAAACACAGCCCAGCTTTATCGTGAATTGTAGAACACCGCAGTGTG